TACGAGTGAGATAGGTCTTGTTTCGCCTAGTCTTTGCGACGCTTAATTCATTAGGCGTCGTTTATATCTCGAGTGTTGCGCTTAATTCGCCGGAAATCAGCGAAATCGCTTTCATGTTCGTTTTTTTATAATTTTTCTTCGCACTTCGGTGATTTCCGGCCTCCGGACAGAAGTCGATGATGATCGTAAATGAGAAAGAACGGCGGATTATAATGAAAAGTGCGACGAAGCTAGAACTAAGGTTACCGAAGTACATAAGTTAAGAGATAAGCTAATTAAAGTAACAGTTTATTGAAAATTAAGTACATTGTTGCAACTGCCATGCTGTGTGCCATTATATAACAAGTCACGTTTGTCGTAAAAAGCAAAAAGAAAAAAAAAAAAAAGAGAAGAAGAGCTGAAGATGAAGATGAAGAAAAGAAGACGTTAGCGGACATACGAAGTAAAATAGTATGTCTGTGAAATATTTTGCGCGTTCTCGTCTGTCTTGTCTGAAAAAAAAAACTTCTTGGTTTACAATGCTTCGAAATCGTGGAATTACACCGTCGTCCTCGCACACGTCGCATTAAAATCCCTCCTGATAATGCAGTATTTTGTTATACAATTTACTATACTATTATGAGAACGACCATTTTTATCGAACAACGATGGCAGAATTTTTTAAATGATACGTAATGCAAGAAGAAAATTTATGGGCCTTTTCTAATACGTATCGACTATTAGCTTTGAAGATATGATTTCGTAAGTAAATATATCATTCGATAGAAAAAAAGAAACGCGTCGAGAGAATTATGAAAGAGTACGGAAAGGACGACGGGGTAAATACCCAACAGTCCCCAGATATCGCGCACGATTTCGCTTGAGCTTGCGGAACTCGCGTGTACCTGCTTGCGCAAATTACGCGTGTGGACATAAAATATATGGTAATAATATCGTATTTAACATACGCGAAACGTACATGTACGTTAGTACACGTGCAAGCATATGCGCGACACTTTGCACGTGAGAAACGAGGCTCCGAATCGAAATTCACGACGAAATTCAGCGCAACGATCCGTTTCTGCAATGGCAAGACACGATCGCTGAAAGTAAGAAAAAGTCTTACACTTTGGGAAAATATTTTTGGTCGCATTTATTTCGACGGATGCGGCGATTATGATAAGATTTTCTGTATAGATATAAAGATA